CCCCGGAAAAGGCCTTCCACCATCATTGAATGCCGTCCATTTCTGGCACCAAACAGAATTCTCATGTTTCTTTCTTTGCTGGTGTTAGGACAGTAAAAAAAAAATAAAATATATATATATATATATATATATATATATATACATATATATATGCGCACACACACACTGTTGTATTCTGACTGCAATATTTTAGGCATTAATTGCGGCAAGGGCCAATAAATTCTTGGTATAAAAGCCTTTGTTCTTCAGAGACTTGTGTAAAAATGGGGGAAAAAAGCGGATGCAATCAGGTCCCACAGAAGGAACGAACACTAAATAAAATCATTTTCAAGAACGTGTTTATTGATCATCAATTACTTTGATGATTAAAAAAAAACAAATAAATAACCCATATGCATCTGTTTGCCTTTAAAAACAAAAAAACGACTTGATTGACCCAAACACAGTCCTGCAATCTCCAACTTGCAGATTGAATTTGACTTGATACTGTACTGACGTCAGAGCACACTCACCTGAGACAATGTGCTTCTCTACTTTGGCCACAGAGTTCACTGATTGGCTCGTTGCCTCCTCATTACATTCGTTTTTTTCTTCTCGCCTCTCCAACAGCTTCTCCATCGCGTCCTGTATTACGAATCGATCCGGGAAGATTTTCCATCCATGTTTTCATGGCAACGGCCTCCCTCTCCTTCGCTGTTCATTCCCTCCCCTCGCGCCTTTCCCTTCTGAAGATCCTGCATGTCCTCTCCCTCCTTAGCTTCTCTGCACGTGGCCATGAAGATGACTAATGATTCGTCTTCTTCCAGCAAGCGTGTATTAAAGACCCTCTTAAATTTGTCCAGAAAGGTCTGGTCAGACTCCAATCTGATCTTGTTGGCCAAGAGCAGGGTGGTCCCTGGCTGGCAGAAATGCTTCAGGGTGGCCAAGAGCTCATCCAGGAAATCGTGGTGGTAGACCACATCAGCTGCCAGGATGTAGTCATAGCGATAGATCGCCGTGGGGTAGGTGCGCTCCAGGTCGTAGCCCCAGGACAGAGGGGCCACCTGGGGGGTGTGCCGGCAGCGTCCCCTCGTGTTCTTGCTCACGTTGAATGTCAGGTTGCCCAGAACATCTGGCAGATCGGTGGCGGTCACCCAGGCCCCTGTAGACCACAAAGGTCATAGGACAAGGGACAGGCAACTTCAACGCACATCCTAACTAGATGAAGAACAAAAATGCCACATTAGATATGAACAAAGTACATCATCCATATGTTCAAAATACGCACTCTTAAATAGAGTTCATTTTTCATCATACATTTCTCAATGCATCATGCATAAAAGATCCGCGATCCCAAGCCAAAAACAAAGGGTTACAAGCCAACAACTAAATAACCACAAACTAATATTGCAAAGGGATCTCTTGCATCAAAATGACCACTCAAGGGCGCCACAAAACAGTTGAACAGCAAACCAATAAGTGCAAGAACTCATTTTTTGCTTTTTTTTTTTTTGCCAAAATCAACTCACTCTAAAGTTAAACATTACTGAGTTTGTCCTGTATATCATTTCAAATCCCCAGAAAACGATTTGGGTCAGCACAACAACTAAGCCATGTCTGACATCGAGTGGTGATATTACCACTAAAACTATTGGCGATATGTTGACAGTTGCCCATCCCTGACTTGGGGCCTGGTTCAGCTTCTTCGACTTTCTTTTGACAGTAGTATCAGGATTATAGTCTCTGATTTTCTATTTAATGTGTATTCATGGGGCATAAAATACAAATATTGGCCCGCAAACTGTAATCCAAAACCACAAATTTCAAGCTGACATATCTGCCTCTGTGTGTGTCTCCCTTACCGAGGAGCGAGGCCACAATGGACAGCAGGCCGGTCCCTGCACCGATCTCCAGTACGGCTTTGTCCATGAGATTCAGCTGGCTCCGATGCGAGTCCAGGTACTGACTGAGAGCCAAAGCCTGGGAGCAGCACGCATGACATTGAGGCAACAGTCTCACATTGAGGAAGAATGCGGAACGACTCACCCCAGGCCATATCATTCCCGCGTAGGAGTCAAAACCTTCCTGGATGACGATCTCCTGCCCGACGTAATTATACATTTCTTTATCGGGCCTAGAGAAGAAACATGGAGCCCAACCTTGTCTTTGCTGCTTGTGGACAACTTCACTGTTGTGTGATTGCTCTGCATGACGCAAAGGAGAACAACGTTTTACGGCGCGGCCTCGTTCCAGCTGTTCGTCCGTGACACTCTTTCTTACCCATCTCCTCTGTTTGCTCTTCATCTTCTTCCATTGTCACTGCGGTTGGCTTCCTCGCCCGATGTTGACAAAGCGGCCGGATGAAAATGCACTTCGGTGTTTGGCAAGCATGCGAAGACATGGGCGAAATGGAAATGGAAAATATAGATCAAAGAAATACGTCATAAGACAGCTTTATAATTACACTGTGGAAGACAAAAAAAAAAATTTGGGTGAGCTCAAAATGTCAATCCAACAAAATTTCAAGCTGGGCAATTCAACAAAATATTTCAAGTTTTGGTTTTCTCACACTTCACGACAAAGAAATAAGAGTTGACAGAAGTCGAGCCCCATCATAAGGAGCGAAGTAAAACCAACTCCACAGATTGTTTTGGAGCAAACAACTTACCTGCTTTGTTGCGCTGACGTTGATGTTAAATGTCAATAATTTCTATTTTAAAATTGTTTCATCTGAATTTACAGGAACAAAAAATACAAGTTGTGTTTTGTACAGTGTATATTTTGATATCCACTTTGACATTGTCTACAGGTACATTCTGAGCCTTTCATAGAACCAAATCAAAAGACTGAATGAATGATAGGAAGCTCTCTCAACATCAGAGACGTTTTCCGCTATTTGGTCATTGAGTTGAGCCGCCTTTCCACTGGAAATCTTTGCAAACTCCATTCTCAGCTGACTAAATCCCACTTTGCCTTCCTCCTTGGACCTACCTGGTGTCGTGTTTTAATCCCGGGAGAGTTGCAATCTGTGTGCATCCACAGATATCTGCCTGGGTGGTTATAGAGAGCATCCTGGTAGACACTCCCATCATCATCACAAGGGCACGTGTGTATTTATAGAACTGCAGCCGTGATAAATAAACACAAGCAGCGGTAGACGCAAGCATGTACACGCAAAGATGATTTGCAAGGCGGAATGACAAATATGTCATGAGACCAGCGCTGGCCCGGGAATCGACTTCCTGTCGGCTTTGTGGTAGGCCGCGATGGAACGAACATGTGTGAGTGTTCACCACGCTTTGGGTAGATCTGGTTGAACGATTCAAGTTGTTCCCACTTTGCTAAAAAAAAATACTCCCAAACACTCATTAATACTTGAATGTATGTGACGAATGAGTCTTTAAAAAAACAAAAAATTAAGCAGGAGATTATTTGATTTGATTTTTTTCAAAGCTGTTTTTTTTCTGTCGATGAAAGGAGGTCATTTCTTTGCAAATTTTACTGGAAGCACGTAGGCAGCCTGAAATGTGGTGCTGGTTTCAGTTTCTTCAACCAGATATTGACGGTAACCAGATCGGGCTTGCACGCAACCACATCAGGCGAGCAGCCCCCCTGAGGGTGAAAAGTAGGACGCGGCTACAACATCAAGTCCAATTAGCGCTGTAAGAGCACCCACACTTACTTTTTTTTTTTTTAACCTTTGACCCTTAAGTTCAGTTCACAGCAAGGTATCATCGCTTTAAATCCATGCGCTTTCCAAATACAGAAACCCATCCATGCCTTGGCATGAACAGAAAACGCACAGCGGTTAGGTCATTGCTCTACTTTTATTGTTGATGTGGATCAGCCTTATATGGGGGGGAGGTGGTGGTGGGCGGGGGGGGAGATAAGACTTTGAAAGCTGATGAGAGGCGACAAATTAGCTGCGTGGCTCAGCAGGAGCTTGTTTATATGCGTGTGCGCTCGGATAGCTTTCGGCCGCCGAGTTTGTTTTGACGGAGACACGACCCTTTGGTCCCGTCGGATCAACAAAGCCTTTGCGTTTTAATCCGACGTTCCGCCGTGGCACTCTGTTCGCCAGCCAGATTCACGCCCACGGCCTGGCCACGAGGCAAACAATGTTCAGGGATTTTGGCATTCACAAATTGTGCGCCAGCTTTATATCATACAACTGGCAAGTTGCTCAAACTCTCCAGCCCGTGTTCATGTTACCAACGCATTAAACCTGCCTGTGCTTAAAATATAGATTCTGGCGCCAAGCAGGAAAATACACAGCTGCTTAGGGGGGAAAAAAAAAAAAAAAAGAGTACCGACTGTTTTGCATTCGTGAACTTTTACGGGATATTGAATTCAACCATTCCGGACTCACTGGAGGTGCTTAAACTTGACCGTGCCGTACATATTTTCATTCTGATCCCAAAAAAGTCAAGTGATGCCTGTTGGAAAGATGCGCCTGCCTCATTTGCCCACATTCTTGCCGATGATTTGGGCTGGCAGACACCGTTCGGACTGAGAACAACCCGCGGTCAAAGATGACTCTGAAATTGGCCTTCAACCTCAGCGTAACAAAATGCAGCCACAAGATTAGCATGAAAAGACACGCAGGATAGGATTACGCAGCCTCCCACAAATGACAATTTCATCTGTGTTAGCAAGAATGTTTGAAAGCAGTCTAACTCAAAAAAACACATTTTTTCCCCCCATTATTTGAGAAGACTGGAACAACGTGTAGTATAGAGTGTTAAAATTAAAGCCAGGACTTATGATGACCAGTCCTGGCTGGCAGAGGCAAAAGTTCACCCGTAAACTGAAGAGGAAAATCTGAAGAAAAGGGATGGGTTGTAAAAACCAGCAGTTGTCAACTTCACTGTAATCTGCCCCCGAAAAGGAGTGGAGTACGGGTCACAATTCAAATTGGGTCTGTTTTTTTTTTTTCTTTTTTGCAATACAAAAATATAATATTGCATAAATATTCCAACATCTGTTGTCAAAACAAGACGTGATCATCAAGCATCAACAATACTTTGAATGAGACTTTTAATGAGGCCATTTTGGACAAGAATGTCACAGTCAGCCCCTAAAACGCATAGAGAAATATCAACACATAATCCAAACATGTTTGAAATAAAAACCATTGTTGTTCATTGAAGTCAGCTGGAGCATAGACCTTCCATTGATATAGCGTGTGTAGCTGACTAATACTGGATTGCAAATATAATATCAGATACAGCTTACTGTACATTTAAAAAAAATTTCAGAGGCACATTTGTCAACCCCCCCGCCCCCCAAATAAATAGATAAATATTGAAGAATCGGTAAACTGCTGACAGTGCACCGTCAGCTGTGATTATTTGCGTGGTGTAGTAAACGTACAAAAGAGTACACGGGCTCAGAAAGACGCATGATAAAACCATCCAGTAAATCAACGGCTTAAACGGTATCGTCGGTTCTCTTGTCCCTCCTCCAGGCTCGGTAAAGTTTAATACTCAGACTGGGGAGGTCATAGAGTTCCTCCAGGTGGAAACGCTCCCCGAAGCGATCCACAAAGCTGTTCTCTGGGTCCAGGCGGAAACGCATGGCCCACAGGATCTGGGTGTTCGCTTGACAGAGGTGGCCGAAGGTGTCCAACAGCTGGTCCAGGTATGGGTGGGCGTACACCACGTCGGCAGCCAGGATGTAGTCGAAATAGTGCGTGCGCTGTGGGAACCTCTGCTCCACCTCTGGGCCCCAGACTAGCTCTGTCACCTGCCCACGATATGCAAATAAGGTCGGATGAAATGTATTCAGGGTCCATCATGCAAATGCTAGATTATTGTTATGTTGAACAAAAATGAACAAAATAATGAAAAGTAGAATTGAAAATGTGAGCACGGTGGTGACTGGTTCGCACGTTTGCCTCACAGTGCAGAGGTGCAGGGTTTGATTCCGCCTGCGGCCTTCCTATGTGAGGATAAGAAATTGGATGGATGGATGGATCAAATTGAAAACAATTATTTTCAATGATTGACAAAAAGTTTTTTTTTTATGGATAACTAACTGAAACCGCACTGTTTACAAATCTAGTTCAACAAAAATGACAGTGAACCTGTCTTTTGTTTTGGTCTTTGCCAATTGAATTTGATGCCTGATTACAGAGCTATTTATTTTGGCTCAGTCAGTTTAACAACGGCAACGTGGGTTGAAGTTGTGATCTTTGTGTGCGTCTTTAGACTGCTAGCTATTGTGATTTTTCTGTCATGTCGACTTGTTACATTTGATTCAAATCAAAACAAAATCAAAAGGTTTCTTTTGAGTTTTTATGACATAATACATATCGTGGCCCGTTAGAGCTCAACTGGAATAAACCGCAAATTACAGAAACCCCCTAAAACTAACAGTGAAACGAATAAAAAGTCAACTAAAACGGACCAAAATATGTACACGAGCAATCTCTCATCAAAAACGAATAAAAAACCCCCAAATCGAACACACTGTAACTTGTCCGTAGCACATACCAGGGGCACGTATTTGCACCGTCCTTTTGTGTTGCATGTGACGTTGTACTGGAGGTTCCCGAGCACATCAGGGAGGTCTGTGGAAGTGACCTTAGCACCTTAGCATGGAAAATAAGAGCAAAGGGACACAGTCACGACAGAGTCGGTAGAAGTTTGAACAAAGTTCGGTTGCTTTACCTAAAAGACTCGAGACGATAGAGACCAGACCAGTTCCTGCGCCGAGTTCTATCACGTTCTTGTCCATCAGGTTGTACTTATCTCGGTTGGTCTCCAGGAAGTGACACAACACCAGAGCCTAGATGGTGATTGTGTTCAATCAGCAGCGCATCATCATCATCATTATCAGTTCTGAGACATGTTCTTTGTATGTACCGAGGGCCAGAGTACAGCTCCGTAGAGGTCCGTGGATTCTTTAATTCGGATCTCCAAACCGGAGAAGATGTAACCCTCCCACGTCTCCGGGCCGATGACGGAAGGGTGGAACTGGCGTGCTAAAATGGCTTTGGCGAGTTCTTCATCCACAGCAGTGTCTGCTTCGAGAAGTGCATGTTTCTTTCATTTGATCTTGTGTGACGAGCTCGGCGTGCATCATCAAAATAGATTCTTCCATTTCTTTCAGAGTTTCATTAAAAAGAAGAAAAAAAAAACGGACACACCGATTGTATGGATGATAGTGTAGTTGTCATCAATCGCTACTGTGTATCTCTCCAAAATGGAATGGTACATTTTGACACTCCATCCAAGAGATTCAATGTCCCTGGCACACCTCATTCCCAAACATGTGGACCCAAAATGGCAAGATCATACTTCCCTTAGGTCGGGAAAATGATGCCTCGCAGAACCAGAAGTCTGGGATCGTATTGTCGACAAACCTCTGCCTTCGACGTAAACACCGCAGCTGGCCCGTGCTTATTTGGAAAGGTACCGTGCCACCCAGCCCATCAACCAGCCAGCAGCAGGCTGTGAGGAGGAATCCACCCGTGATGTTGACCATCTCGGATGCTGCGCATTCCAGATGACCAAAGCGGGGAATCAAGTTGCCATTTCAATTCAGGATGCTTCGTTTGTGAAAATAATCAATGATGATAACTAGACTAAAAAGAGACAACTGAGTCACTAGTGTTATGGACGTTATGGAGAAATCTGTCAACCTGCAGCACCGAAGCTGAAACGTCACCACGGGCAGCCGTTAGCATGTTACTGAGTGTCAATACAACACAGGCCATTGCTGCGCTAGCATACCTGAAGTGAGTGACAGTAGAAGCCTACAGATCAATTTTTGGGGTAGTGACTTTCATCACAAGAATTCCGAATGATGTCAGGATAAAGAAGGAGAGTAATGAAGAAACTTCTGGACACATATCTTCTTTGACTTGATTCGATTTTATTTTGAATAGAAGGCTGTGTCTTTCAAGATCCAAAATGGCGCGCACTTGCAAATCTTGTTGCTTGCCTTCTTACAGGGGCAGGCAACTTAAAGATTGCATCGCTCATGTTTCTTTCTTAATGTTGAGTAGTTGTGCTTGAAATTTTAATGTTCCAAATGGCCCCCATGGAAATGATGCCTGTTCTTGCCAGTAGCATTCTGGACTCCCTGTTCTTTGAGCTGATGGGCAAACTTACCCATGAAGTGTTTATTGGCTTTAATGGCTGAAGTTGCAGCCATCAATAATGCTCAGACTCCTATTCCCGTTGCCACGAGACATTCTTATGAGGGCCAGCTGCTCTTCCAACTCAAGAGTTTGGGGCCCTCAGTCCTCTCCAAGGCCCGGCAAGGGCAGGTACAGGTTTATGTCTGTCACGTTCTGGGACAGGTGGCGCAAGCAACTCCTTCCAAACTTCGAAGCACGTCGGGACTGGCAGTCAAATCAAAAGGGTTGTTTTCCTCAAGAACAGCTGAGTACCACAGAAGGAACGGTCACTTGGTCACAGGCCTTTTATGGTAAACACGGGGGGAAGTAAACCAGGTTGAGGGAAAGGTCAAGAAAAAGGAGGGAGGATGTTTGTGAGAACCGCAGATGCCTTGATGTTGAAGTGTCATTGAAAACCTGAGCCAGTGTGTCGATCTTACGTCAATGTAATTTTGTTTTTTGTTTTGGTTATTTTGTTTTTTTACTTCACACAAAAAACGTTGGCCCCACCACTCAAACTATGAGCCCATCATTTTCTTATGCAAGTTTTACTAAACGAACGCGTTAACATGATAATAGTCATATTCTAATTGGAAGTTTGAACTTGCAAAGTATATTTCCTGTAAAAGAAAAGTGAGTCTGTTGAATTGACAGAATACACGCACATCATGGTGCATGGTAACCTTTACCTCAACGTGAGCCAGCAAAAACCCTGAAAGCAAATTGCAATTTCTGCGCAAAAGACACAAATGAAGTCCATCTTGATTAATCTGTGCATGTCATTTTTTTTAAAATGGCTGCTGTGATTAAACGTAGTGGCACATGGAACCACCACATCAGAATAGATCAGACAGACAATTAAAAAAAAAGAAAATGCATTTTTTTGGTCATCAATTTAACGTGTACAGTATATGCTGATGTAATCATGAGTTTATCTCATTTCGTTTTTTTCTACCAACGGTATGACTCTGTTACACATCCGTTTGAATGCTATATTTGACACAAGGCTTGGGTTACGTAACACCAGTTTGGTCCAAAGATCAGGGGACCCCATGCAGCGACAACCCCCCGGACTTTTTGTGTCTGTAAATCAAGGTGCTACTTTTCTTGACAGGCAAACAATAGTTTGAAGACCATTGGTTTGTGCTTACCGAAGCGCGTCGTTACATAAACGTAAAAAACATGTCTTGATTTTTTTATTTTTTAGATTTTGTGATATATGCAACTAATGCGCCAAGCTAGAAGTCGCGGTCATGAGACCTTCTTGATTCACGCTGGTTCACACGGGGCACTCCGGGAAAATCTACTGAAATGAGAAAAATGGCGTTTCCAAAATTTCCTCACCTTCTTCTCCGGTCTTGGAGCTCTCCTCACACTGCTGAGACTCCATAATCAAATGAGCGCACAAGATGTCACCCTTGAGAATAGTGTGGAAATCGAGAGCCGGTTTTGGTTGCTGGTCACGCTTAAATCCTTTTGGGATTAGGTCAATCTGGCAACAAATCTCTGGCTGGCCACTCGATCGCATCTAGTTTTAGGTTACACACGGCCCCAGAGCACCAAATCCAGCATTTCCCAACTTCTTATCCAAACATCCCATCTGGCCTCTGCAGTGCATTTCCAGTTCTCGGACACGGTCAGGCGCTGATTGGCAGAAACAGCTGGCGGGTCCGACAACTGAGCTGCAGTGCACAGGACGCCTTTCTGGTTTCAAATAAGGACAATATGAGACTCTGCCTACAGACTTATAAATAAATCTTTTTGTCTCAGCGTGCACCGTGGGTGTTTTTTTTTGAGTTCACAGAAGCCGAGGGCGTGGAAACCAAACTGTAGTCTCAATTCAAACGCAAGCTGAATGTATTTACCAAACTATTCAATATGTAAATTTGTAGCATACTCGTCAGTTTGGACACACCGTCCCTCAACCTTCCCAAGTGACTTGATCGTTTGAATGAAACGCATATTTCAATACAGAAATCTTGGCATCGAAAAAGAGACTTCACAACAGTTTGGGGGAAATGCATTTTATTCCGCTTAACATGAAACAATGAATTATAACATTCTAAAAAGTGTTTTAGGATACATTGCTAGTCGTGAAATAAATCATTTTCAGGTTTTCTTTCCTCGTCCTCTCCTGCTTTTAGGACGGCGACCTCTCATGCTTCCCTTGAACACAGACTGAGCCGTAACCATAGCAACTTGACCATAATTACCTTCGCTGTCCTCATCAGAGCTGCTGCTGCTCGGTCTTGTGTGCTGTGGGACAGTCTTGGAGGCCTTTGTCAAGTGTGCCTCTTGGCTAGCGTGGCTCACATCATTTAAAGACGGAATCAGAGTTTCTCCGATTCCCTCCGAACCCAAAAACCCGCCTCCGGCCACAGGCCCGTCCCGTTCTCTCACTTTTCTATTTTCATCTTTTTTCCGGCCCCGTTCTATCGTCTTCCCTTTCTTGGATTTGGTCGGTGACGCGATTTCCTCGTCCGTCTCCACGTCCTCTTTCCTTTTCATGCAGGTGATGGCACGGCGGAGACGTTGACTTCGGATGGCCTGCTTTTCCTGTTGCTCCATGCGGAAGAATGCGTCAATCCGCGTCTGAGTCTACACAACAAAACAGCATCAACGTTACGGAGGGCCCGACACCCAATCACTTATAAAACAAAAGAAAGTCCCTTTATAGATCCAAATAACATTTACGTGACCCGTGAATGAATACGACACATTTCTGCGGCATACAGAGGAGGATGGACTATAAATTCAACAATCCTTGGTGGGATACAAATATTTTAGTCAAGTATTAGGTGGGTCCTTTTCGGTAAGTTGGAGTCAGTGTCTTTTGGAAGCTTTGAGATGCGAGATTGTCGACAGTGGGAACGGGGGCTGCCAGAAGAGTGTCAAATCTACGAACCGGTCAAACAATCGTATGCCAGACAGGGAAAAAAAAAATTGTGATTTGTGTGAACGTTACCTGTTGTGTGTTAAGTTGCTTGATCACAGGCTGAAGGGTATCTGCTGTTTTTCTACTAGGCCAACCGAAGCGACTTTGACAGAATGTAAAGGGCCGGTTAAGGAAAACGGGCACCCGCGCGACGCTCTTTGACACGAATGGGATCAAGTGGAAGGATATTCTTTGATCATCTCCAGCTGAGGGCGTCCCCAGCTGAACGAGGTGTCTGACTCGTCCACGGCGGGCTGCAGGTAAGCCTGAGCCACGGCCGGGTTTGGGAATCCGGCCTGAAGTTTGAGCTCCCTCAGCTTTTTTTTCACTTTTGTGTGTCGAGGATCAGCAGTCAAACGCTTTTTCTCTTGAGCCTCTGACCACCACGTCCTGCAAAGACAGAACAACCGTTTTTTTCCCCATATTTGTGGCATAGTTAATGAAAGGGAAAGCCAGCATTCGTGTTGTCCTGTCAATTGGATTGGACTGGACAGTTTTTAGTCGACCTGAGTAGAAAGTCTTTCAAGCTTTGTAAACTAATGTCCAGAGACTGTGATGGTCAGGTAGAGCGATAGCTTTGTCCAATACTGGACGTAAAACTGCTTTCACTCAATCTTCTTCCAGGGAAGTGAAACACACCTGAACTGTGTTAATGGCTCCAGCCCATGTCCGGGGAATTCATTCAGGATTTCCATGCCAGTCACATATCCGACCCCGGGCACGCCTTCGGTGTAATCACTTCCGAGCAGGTAAGCCAGGTTGATCAGTTTGGTCCTGTCCAAACCTGTGTTGGAGGACAGAGGGAGGGAGACGGATGAAGAGAGAGAAAATATGAGAGAGAGAGAGAGAGAGAGAGAGAGAGAGAGAGAGAGAGAGAGAGAGAGCGAGAGCTAGCTTGATAGCTAGCTAGTAGCTAGCTAGGTAGCTAGACAGACAGCTATCACGCCAAGAACATCAACACCTGCTGATAGGTGAGACGTAAACAAATGCGATTAGCGGTTGGATGCGGCCTCGTTGCCCCTGCCAACGCAATCTTGATTTGCTTCAACGTACGCACGCCTTATAGTCGTCAGAGTAACAGTGACAAAAACTGAATTTGAGATGGGGCGTTTTGAGTACATCTGGAAATAAATACTTCTTACATTAGAGTCCATCCGAAAGTTGTGTGATAACATTTGTGATGGGTGTTTCCATAAGAACTGGGGGAATAGCTCACTTATCATCAACTCTTCTGTGTTTAGGATGAATTATATTTATGTCGTGGTCGCTCAAGTGGAACAACTATACAATACATATAATATGTGGGAAGGGCAGACGACAGTGCTTCCAACCCTTCCTGAGATGACTCCATGTTCAAATAAAAGAAAAAGGGTTTTGGGGATCTGACGATGTTCAAAATGGTCGAATAGAGCGACACATCGACAACATGGAGAGGCCACTGACCCAATTGGTTCTGCAGGTCACTGTACTGGTAGTGCTCCACATATTTATTTTGGCTGAAGAAGTTTTTGTAAACGTGTCGCCCTCCAAAAAGCCAAACGTCCGAGTCGTCGGTAATCGTCCCGTTGGTCTGGTCGGCTCGGTCGAGTGCGGCGCATTGCGCCTCGGCTTCCATCGGCGCCACCAGAAACGGAATGCCGAACAGTCGGAGGAGCTCCTGGAGTCACGAGAACAATGTGTTGCATTTCCGAGGGTTATTTTGACTGCGCGCGTTTTGTAAAAAATCCGCTTCGGTGTGAACTCGCCTGGCTCTCCAGATACATCTGCCCTGTGACGGTGTTGGCCATCCGCTCCTGCTGCTGTTTCTGCTCTTTCAGATTGCGCTGCTCCACCAGCAGGGAATTCTCTACGGACTGCAGCTCATCCTGCATCACAACAGCAACACTCTAAATGGGTTGGCAAGAGTGTCGAAAAGCAGTTCTATGCAAAAAAAAAAAAAAAAAAAAAATCTTCATAAAAGTCATTCAGCATAACAATGTGGTTCAAATTATGTAAAAAAAAATGTCACGGTCAGAGTACAAGTCAGTGTCTAAAGTCCTGTTATAAACAAACATTTGAATGTGATCCAAATACAAATTGTACCCCCCCCAAAAAAAAAAAAAAACAAAAAAAAAACACGAATCCGATATATACTGAAGCAAGGATTGCTCATTTTCACAAAGTTTCCACTTTATCACCTATTCTGGTCTGAGTTTCAACGGGTCTTTTAAAAATGAGCATGACGGACAACGCAGATGCTCACCACGTCAAAATCTTCCCATTCGTGGACTGCAGGAGCTGAGCGGGACGCTTTCTCTTCTCCCTCGTCCAACTCTTGCCCCTCGTCAGTCGGCGCCGTTTCGTCTCGCTCTTCGTTTGACTTCAAAGAGTCTTCTGGGATGCCGGCGCCACTGGACGGGCTTTCTGCTTGCATGGTCTCATCCTCATGGACCCCTTCCGAATCCTCCTCGCATTCCTCTTCTGATACTTCAACGAAGCTCTCTGGGGGGAGCAAATTATTATTTATTTGAATGAACAGTTTTGACGACGCTGGATTTATTTACTTTGACTGTTACCGTCCGATTGACTCTCATCGATGCTTTCGGGCCGAGCCTCAAGGCTCATCTGTTGAGCGGCGGCTTCACGATCGATCTTCTCATCCAGCTCAAGGCGACTTGGAGGCGTTCCGTGCGGTCGCTCGGACATCCGAGCGGCTGCCTCAGGATGGGCGCCTTGTTCCTTCTCCAACATCCATCCCTGCTCCGAGTCGCCTCTCTCATCGGGCTTTCTCGGACTGCGACTTGCCGTCTTTGCGTCAAGCGGTTGAGCGTTGAGCATTTCCTCGTCCTTGTTCAAATCGCTCGTCTCCTCCCCGGCGGCTTGCCTGCCAGATCCTCCCTTGAGTTCACGAAGAGCTTCTCCCATGTGAAATGCTTCATTCGTCTGCCTGACGACTTCGTCCATCGACTCCGAACCATTCTCCAACGTATTGTCGGCTGCACTTTTTCCTACGGCCTCGCCCTCAAAATTATTTTTGTCTTTGACAGCATCAGGTTCCGTCTCCTCCTCTGAACTACTGATGACTATTTGCAACTTGGTGGCAGAGCTGATGCTTGGAGGCCTGCGCTTCACTCCATCCTCTTCCTCCTTCTCCTCCTCAGCCAGGGCTCGTTGGATGGCGATTAGAGTACGTGGAGAGACACTGCCGTCGCCCTCTTCCCGCTTCAAAGTCTCCACATCTGAGCCGTCACTCATGGCGGCCTGGATAGCCTTCATTGTACGAGGCGAAGGCGGCGAATCGAGTTTTGCTCCAGATGCTTGACGGTCTTCTGAACAGGAAACTTGCTTTTTACCTTCTTCCTCGGACACCGGACGCCACAGGGGCTCCGGTTTGTTCACGGCTCGCTTGATAAAGCCTGCTAGGGCGTTCCCGGTCCAGGGTGCACGGGCCGGTTGGCTCGCTGAAGGATTTTTACTTTTGGTTGAGCCTGTAGAGCAACAAACAAACCACACTTGTTATATTTGTAAAAGACTGATAAGACTTGCAAATTTTCTCATAAAATCTAATACAAGTACGAGAAGCACATCTTTTAGGATTAGATTAAAATTTCGGCAGCTTTCACTTGGGTAAATCAATTGCTGGGTTTGACTGACTGGCAAGACAATATTCCAATCCACCTTCTAAATTTAAATGACTAACATTTTTTTTGGTTTTGTTCGGTTAGCCTTTTTTGTATTAGTTGTCATGACAACAAAAAAACTGACATTGGCTAAA